CACCATTCATCAAGGAGACCAGGAAGATGGGCGGGGGGGGGGGGGGAACACCCTCAGAAAAAGTGGCACGTGCTGTTAGGGACCACACCACACCAACGGAATTCGAAGTGACACCCAACTCAGTCTGTCCTTCCAACATCACATCACAACTTCCTAAAGGCAAGAATGGGAGAATCGGGAGAAAAACGTGAATCTTAACTCAGAACTGACAAGAGTATGGCCCATGGAGAAGAACCCCTGGGCTTGTCTCACTCACATTCCAAAGGTTAGCTTTGGACAGGGATCAGTTTGCTTTCAAAAGTGATTCAGCTGTCACCAAAGACCCCAGAACATTTGCATCTGGAGGCAACAGCTATTGCGATTAACATTCCTACACCTCCCTACATCCCACTTAGGAGTCTGATGTGGAACCAGCAGTTCGCGCTTGTACCCCCCGCCCCAACCTCTGCTACCTGGAAAACACAAGCTTAAGGTCTCCTGGTGAGGGGTATGGTCCATGCAGGCTCCATATTTCAGTTTCGGAAACAGAGACGTTTTCTAAAGCCGAGGGCTCCTCTTAACACTGGTAGGTTTTGGAAAATTCCAGCAGGTGACTAACATAAAAAAAGAGTCTGTTGTAAATGTTGTTAGCCACTCAGGATTTGACTTCTGGATTAATATAATTCAATTCTTTTTAAGAAAGAAGGAGGAAGCAACAGAAAAGGTTCTCATAACCATCATCAAATGCATTTTCTAAAATTATTCTATTACATTTTTAAAGGGTACAATTATAACTGTTTTTATGAGCAATTTACTGGAAAATGAAAGCCCCTTAGTTTAAAAAATAATTATTCCATCCCTCTGGCAAAGAATTTTATCCCAGCCAGTAGCTCCTTCAAACTATGGGGCATCATTTGTTCCCTGGGGAGAGCCAGGTCCACATAAGAAAAGCTGATTCAAGAATCAATCTCTAGAAAGTGCTCGAAATTGCCAGGCAAGAAAGCAGACCAGAAAGTGAATCAGTCAAGACTGAGGAGGGGAATGGTGGCAAAGCACTTTGAAAGGCAAAGACTTCTGTGGGTCTAGAAGTCCTCAGGGCTCCATATAAACTACAGGCCTTCTTAACTGATTTTAAGTCAATCTAAGCGAGCTTCCAGGGGGTTCGATCTCAACCCAACTGAGCTTTTCAGTGTTAATCCCATCTTTTGGCTTCGATTTTTCCCTTAGGTCAGCCTGCCCTAAAAGCCTTCCACCTTCAGCACTGGCGTTGCAGACCGACTGCGTGGCACACAGCTCCGTGAGGTAAACTTTAGGGAGGTAGAATACGTAAGCTCTGGCGTGCGCATAATAACGAGATTCTGAAAGAGGGTTTTTTTTTGGAGGGGGGGGTTGAATTTTTAAATTTTATTTTATTTATTTATTTTCTATACAGCAGGTTCTTATTAGTTATCTATTTTATACATATTAGTGTATGCATGTCAATCCCAATCTCCCAGTTCCTCCCACCACCCCCTCCTTTTCCCCCTTGGTGTCCATACGTTTGTTCTCTACGCCTGTGTCTCTATTTCCGCCTTGCAAACTGGTTCGTCTGTACCATTTTTCTAGAGTCCACATATACGCATTAATATACGATATTTGTTTTTCTCTTTCTGACTCACTTGAAAGAGGGTTTTTAACAACAGTTATGTCACAATGCTCATGGCTCCCTGACGTCCCTGAAAGCCTTGTTAAATTAAAGATTCGCTGTAGTTTTTCCGCTTCATTCTTACTTCCCATGTTGCCTCTTGCCTTTCTTTCTCCCCTTTCATTGGGCTGAAAAGATGGAACTGAACGACACCAGCCATCATTAATAGCACCCAGAAAACGGAACAGTTCCACTAAAACTGCTAACATTCCCTGCCCAGTTTTCAGAAGAAGGGGAGGCCGTCTTTCAGATTATAAAGTCACACATCTGATTTTGGAAGCTCAGGCACTCATGGTGCATGGCCCATTCACCGGTAGATTCCCAGGTGTTCAGAATCCAGCAACAGCTTCAAGTCTACCTAGGTAATGTCTCATGAGGTCACCTCAATGTCACGAGAATCCTGACCACAATCTCTGTGGACTGCAAACACTGGCTGCCTGGAAGCTAACCCAGCTACCTCTCTGGAAAGCATCTTCTGAATCAGAAAGCATCGCACTTCACCCAATGCCAAGGACTCCACTCAACCCTCCTTGAGGTTGAAAATGCTAATTTTAAGGTGATGATGTTTGCTTTTCCTTTTGAGTTGTGTGCCTTTATGTTTTAAGTATTAAAAAGCCATAATCACCTAGTGTGTAGGTTAATTTCTTTCCGATATTGTAATTTATGCAACATTAATACTGGATGCCAGCTCCAATTTTCTTGCTGCTTACACTCTGGGAGCCGACTCGCATATTCTGCCAACTCCATTACATCATCTGAAAACCCAAACATTTCCCATTTTCAAATCACTCTCATCTACCAAGCATACTTACACATTCTCTCTTTTTCTCCCTAGCTCTCACTCTCAAAGATTGGTACCCCTGAGGAGCAGACAGTACATCTGAGGTTAAAGTCTGCAAATGCACATAATTTCTGGAAGCTATTACTACTGCTGTGTTAGCTAAAGGATGCCTCCATCTCTGACCTTCCTTTTTCCATTCAGACTGTTATATAACCTAGTGCCTGCGTGCAGGATGTGAGTTGAGTGTTTGGGCCTTACCTCCTCTCCCTCCCCCCATTAAATCTCTGGAGGGATGGACAAGAGGTTGGTTCAAAGAAGAGAGAGTGGGGGGTGGCCCTCTAGGGGGCAAGGGGATGTGGGTCAGCAGGTCAGCTGTGCAAGATGCATCCTACCCCTACGCTGTCCCTCTCCCCTTGTTGCTGAGCCTAGAGGGCTGGTGGTACTGAAAGCCCCATCGTTATATAATTTGCAAGAACAGCCAGTTACGGATTTGCTAGTCGGTTCTGCAGCCTGCCACCCTGATCTCTTGCAAGAACACCTTCTGGCAAGAATGACACCTGAAGATGCTAATAACACACGGGAGGGGGATGCCTAAGACGGAGGGGGGTGGCAGCACAAACCAGAAATTACTGTGGCTTCCTACATACTATGTCCCCCACCCTTCCAAAAAAAAAAGCCTCAGAAACACATGAAGGGGATTTTCTCCAGTGTTTCTGATTAACCCTGTTACATAACCCGCTCGCATTCCAAATCCACCGTCTCAGGTCTAAATATACTCTGTGCAGCCAAAAGCTCGCCACACACAAACTCCCCGAGCTAGCTGCAGGTCCCGGCCCCCAGCCCCGATCCCCCTTCCTGTACTCCCGACCCTCGCTGCCCCCTCCCTCCCGCTCAAACCGCAGTTCAATGTGTTCACTCTTTCGAAATCGCCTTTAATTAAATGTTTTTCGCGTGTGTCATCCTGATGGCTTTTACTGTACTCGAATTCCGTGAATGGGAAAGCGCCTGGACAGGGGGTGTGGCTAAGGTGTGTGTGTAGGGGGGGAATACTGTAAAACAGCTAGCACATGATCAGCCATATTCCTACCTCCAACTCTAACATCGAGAAGAAGGGAGCGGCTCCCGGGGGCCCACACTCGCCTCTCCCGCCCTCCCCAATCGCCGCCAGAAGCCGAGTGGCAAGAGGAGGGGGCCCGCTGGGCCAGTGCCCAAGCCAGGGCTGGAGATCCTCTCTGCCCCCCAGCCCCGGGCGGCTCGCGCGAGCCTGCTTCCTCTAGAGTGACAGGGATGATTTATACATTATTAACAACAGTAATTAAAGCCGTAGCTTCCTCCTGTTGTTTGCAAACTCCAGGCGCATTCAAATAAATAATCCCCCATCCCCAAGAAAAACCCCACATCAGGTGCCGATACCTTTAAGAAAAAAGGAAGAGGGTGAGCCTTCCCCAACACTCCACTTTAACTAGAAAAAAAAGCAAGGAGGAGGCAATGGAGCCCCCCGCAAACAAACACATACACACGCACACACATTCTACAAAATGAAGTGTGTAAATATCGCCCGGGGAGGGGGGAACATCGATCGCACTATCCAACCAGCATTCAACTCGCACTGACCATTCCCAGGTTCTTGCAGAAACGCTTGGAGAGGGAAGGATTTCCCAGGTCAGAAATAAGTTTGGGTGCCTTGGCGATCTTTCTTTTTCTGCTTGTTTGCTTTTGCAGACGCTCACTCCGAATGCGCGTGGAGCGCCCCACAGGACCGCCGCCCCGGGCGAGTTGACGCGCACACGCCCCCCGCCAGGCTGGGCGTCCGGCTGCGAGCCCCGGGTCTGCAAACTTGCGCATCTCCCCTCGCCGCGCCCGCCAGACAACTTGGCGAGCACCTCGCGCGCCCGCACCCTGCTTCCTCCAGCCCAATCTCCAAATCCCAAACCCACCGCCGTGCTCCAGAGAAGGTGCCCACGTCGCCCCCCAAGCCCAGGAGCGCCCCCTCTCCACCCCCGGGGCTGCCCTGGTCACTCAATCCTAACGCCCCCCTCAGCTCTGCGGGGAGCCGAAAACCCACCCCGTCTCGGGCTGCCGGGGCCGAGACTGTCAAGAGGAGAAAAGGTAAAGGGTGAAGAGGGTGGTCATAAACAGAATTTTTTTTCCCCTTCCTTTCCTTTTTAAAGGACACTGCCGCTTTAAAAGTTTCTTTCCCGGGCCCCCACTCTCCGGTTCTCCGTATTTTGGGGAGCGTATTTAATTTCGGCAACGCTGCTTCCCTCCTCTCTTTGCAGAAAAATCAAAGCCAGGGGGTGAACCCGCCGGCTGTCAACCCTCCTGCCGCGTCCCCCGCCCCCCTCTCCTCCCGCAACCCGAGAACGGGCTGCAAAAGTTTGCAACATTTCTGGGGGGCGGAGGGGGGAGGGGAAGGGGGTGCTCCGAGCTCTGGGCGCCGGCGCAGGCTCGCGCGCGGCCCCCGACCCCGCGCCCCGGGCGCCCGCTCCCGGCCGCCCCCAGCTCCGCGCCGGGGCTCCCGCCGCCCCCTCCTCAGCCCCTCTCGCAGCCTCCTACCTCTGCTGGTGCTGGAATAGCTCTGTCTGCGCACCGGGGCGGGCGGCTCGGTCTTGCGGGCGGATTCCTGGTTCAGCGGGGTCTCCCTGGAGCCGGCGGCCGCGTCCGCGCCGCTGCTGCCCGGCTCGCTGGCGGCGGGGTCGGGGGCTGCCGGAGCTGACTCCATGTTTTTTCCCAATGTAGAGATCGCTGGAGATGGCGAGCTCCGAGACTCCCTCTATCTTCTGTTCTCGGAGCAACTCTATGGTACCAAAAAAAAAAAAAAAAAAAAAAAAAAAAAAACGGAGAAGGAGACCGGGGAAGGAGAGAGCAGGCGGCGGCGGGCGGGCGAGCGAGAGCGCAAGGGAGCGCGCGAAGTGTGTCTGGGTGGACGTGTGTGTGCGCCGGAGAGGGGATGGGAGGCGGGTCTGGCCACAGGCAGCGCTAGCGAGAGCTTCTCCAGCCGGTCCCCACACCCACATTCCCCACCCTCCAGACCCCAGACCGAGAGCCACGGACTGGCTGCCAATTTTGGGAGGTGGGGAAAAGAGTGGAGGAGGAGGGGAGAGCCTCACGTGCCCCCCTAGCCCAGGGACAGAAATTAAGATTGGCGACAATGATTCGGTACCTACTTCTGAGACTCTCTCGGGAGCAGAACTCGTCCCCATCCGCAGCCAGCCTGGGAAGAAACAAATCCGGTTATCCACGTTGGGGAATCGCAGGTAGCTCCCTGCCAGCCCAGACCAGGACTGAGGAGAAACTAAAAAGGAATTAGACCTGGGCTGACACCCCAAGGAAGGCAGTGGATGGGAAGACGGAGGACGTGGCACTTCTTACTTTGCTATGGGACGTCCAGTGGGTTTCCAGTATTGGTTTGATATATGTGTCTAAAACACAATTTGTGAGTCTAGAATTGCCATGGATAGCCAATTTTTGGTATGGTTGAAAGCGGTCGCTTTCAGCTCCTTTGCTGTTTCCTCCGAGAAGGATCCAGAAACCACTTGGCAGGGCAATTTCTACTAAAGAAAACTTTGGCTTGATTGGTCGAGGACTACCTAAACTGGATGAAATATGCCACACTGCATCTAGTTAATGCATGGCTGCTAATTGTCAATTCCCACTGGTACTATTGCTATAAGATGTACAGTCTCATCCATAAAAGATATACTGGAGAGGCGTTAATAACATCTGGATGATAAAATTCAGGTAATTAACAGCTTTTAATAAGTTACATCATTGTAGGCATCATTCCGCAGTCCCCCCTTCCACTGAAACACGCCCATCAGGTGCTTAATGAAACCCAAGGGTAGTGAAGAACTGCATCAGTGTTACTTTGATCTGGAACTCCACTATGAAGGAAAAATACAAATTGGATGAGTGGAAAATATTCAGGTGGTAGTAGCCTGATTTCCCTGCCTCAATACTCAATCCACCATTTCCTCTTGCCTGCCGAGACACTGATGAAATCAGTACATTTTTAACACACACCCACCTTCCTTTCAGAAGCCTTGCAAATTTTGACAACAAAAAATATTGTTATATACCAGAAGGTGGCATAAATATGAGTATTTAGGGGGTGGGGAGGGAATTGGGGAAGAGTTTGCTTTTGCTAACTTCCTGGTTTGGAAAAATGCTTTTGAAAAATAAGAGGAAAAAACCTAGTTAGATAATAGCTTAAGAGGAACCTCCATATGCCAAACTTCACACATGGTTTGTGTTACTGTTACTGATCTTGGTCTGATTTCAAATACACAATGCTATTTGCCATGGTCTGTGTGTTAATCAGCAAAACCTGTGGTCCACTCTTCGGAGTGATGCAAATGAGATGTGAACAGTTCTGATACCTTAATCCAGTCTCTGCAAGGATCCCTGGCTTTTGCCTGTCTGTTGGCGCCTACAAACAATGCCATGATTGTCTCCTCCCTCCCAAATCAGATGTGTCGGTTTCCCCATACATCAAAGCACAGATTTCCAGAGCAGCCTTCACGCCATTTACAATGGGTCAGCCTGTTAATAACGTTCTTGATGCAATTGACCTAGCTTGTCACACTTGACTTTTCTAAGTAAACAAATATATCAAAGTGCACGGTTTAATAAACAAGTTCCTCTGGGACAGCAAGTATGTCAAAATACATCCACTGCTCCATATTTATTTTAGAATATTTGGGAGAAAAGAAACTTTTCATATTAAATTTCACCAATGATTCTATTTGGGATGCAAGCAGCTTAAAAAATATCTCTGGCTCATTTTAGGTACCAATAGCAACTTATTAATATTTTGGGTGAAATCTATTCCCCTGAGCCTTTATGGGTTCTTTTGCTGTTTTCCTCCGACTAAACTGGTATTTGTTTACCCAGGAAAGACCATCCTGAATATGGCCCCAGTGAGCTTAGTTAAGATAGACTCCCATATTCCCTGTCAGGGTACCAAAAAGCCATTTCTCTTGCCTTCCTAAAACAATTATTGCTTCTGCAATTTAAAACAATTGGGAACTCAATTGATTTCCCTAAGGGAAAAATAAAAGTGAGTTAGATACATTCCTTGACTGTCAATCATTATTACTAAAGTGTAAATTACCTCGATTGGGGAAGTGTTTGAAACCTGAGAAGCACAGTGATTAAGGTTATATTTCTTTCCTTCCCTTATGTCCCTTCCCTGATTACTAATTATAAGGCTTTCCAATTTTCCAAATATTTGGAAAGATGGGAGCCTTCCTTAGACTCTGTTCATTGTGAAAGGCAATAGTGTTTGCTTAAAAATGGTTATTTTACTTCGCAGTACTGAGTTCTGAGACAGACAATGGCTTAGAAAAACCTATGCTTTGTAGAAGACAGAAGGCTAACAACCATTTTCTGTAGACTCCTCTTGCCCTCCCCAAACTCACCAGAACTCCCCTACCTCCTCTTCGATCACAGGCTCCCCTCTTGATGGTGACTCCAGTTTTTTCTTATTCCAAGGTCATTACTGGGAAGCTCAGAGTTGGCTTTGACTCCCCTCTCTCACTCCTGCACCTCGCTCTCCACAGCCAGCCAGACTCGCCAGTTGCTTTCAATTCTACCTCTGTGACATCTGCCCCTCCTTTCTGCAGCTAACACTCCAATTCCAGATATTATTGCTCGTCTAAACCATAACCTTCCAAATAACTGGCCTTTGGTCTTATAACCATGCTAATCCATCCCAGAAAGCATTGCCAAGTTTATTATCCTGAACTATAGTTCTCATTTCCCACCATGTCACTCCCCTGCTTACAAGACTTTAATGGCTCCCTATCGCCTATCCAATTAACTACTAACTAGTCAACAAGGTATTCAAAACTCTACACCTCACTTATCCCTGCACTCCTGCACCAGGGATGGCAAATTGATCTCATCTCATGAAGGAACTCCTGAGGCTGTCTGGAAAGGTGTGGGCTGTGATTGATGAATGCTGTCTCCCATGGGTGGAGGGTTGGGAGCGGGACACTGGCGCCAGGAGTTTGCTAAACGGCCTGGCATCCTTACATAATTCCTGCAATCCATGTGTAATCCTCAGACCAGGCCACGTGCTGCTCTCTACTCTTCCTGCTTGTAGTGCAGGATACAGGCACAGTTGCCTCTGCCTCTTCTGAAATGCCTTTTCTTTTCTGCCTTCTCTGTTAATTGAATCCCTACCTTTCTTTAGAGGTCCAATCTAAAAGGCAACTCCTCTGTACAACCACCCCGGTTTACCCCAAACCAAATATTTGAACTGTCTTAGTACTGTGCACCCCTCTTAAGGCATCTGGTCTGCCTTGTGCTGTGGTTGGTTGAACATTTGCCTTACCTTTCCTGGTGGAAGATCCATTCCTAGAAAACAGGGGCTTTGCCCTTGCACACAGTAGGAACTTATTAGAGTTAGTGGATTTGAGGAATGGAATTGATGATCTAATCATAAGGTAGCATGTCCACACAGTGATTCCATTACACAACAAGAATGAAAACCAAAGTGTTTCAACTTTCAATCACTTGAAATAAGATTTTCCTTCCTGGATAAAAGATTAGTTGACATGTACGGGCTGTTAAAATTTATATATGCAAAAAAATGTTGACAGTTATTTTCTTTGCATTTCTGGGAGAGGGGGAGAAGGAAAATTATGGAAATATATAGTAGAATTTCCTTGGGAGAGGGGAGCTTTCTACAACATACCTAAGAACAAAGAAGACAGAAAATTAAAACCAAGTGCCCAGGCAAGAAGTTTCTTTTCTTTCAAAAAAGCATCAAGAAACTGCAGCTGGGCTTCCCTGGTGGCGCAGCGGTTGAGAGTCTGCCTGCCGATGCAGGGGATGGGGGTTCGTGCCCCGGTCCAGGAAGATCCCACATGCCGCGGAACGGCTGGGCCCGTGAGCCATGGCCGCTGAGCCTGCGCGTCCGGAGCCTGTGCTCCGCAACGGGAGAGGCCACAACAGTGAGAGGCCCACGTACCGCAAAAAAAAAAGAAAAGAAACTGCAGCTGGACAATATGATGAAAATAGAAGAAACTGAAACGAACATGCAGCACCACTCTTGGGCATGGGAGGGGCTCTCCATTCTGCTGCAAAGTTTATAGGTTTATGGTCAGAGCAGCCCCAACCAGAAAAGTCCAGGTTAACAACAGCACTTTGTTCAAATCAGAGGAGGACCGGTGTAAATCCGAAGTCCTCATGGGTGGAACAGGAGATCCAGGCTTGCCAGATGCTTCAAAATAAAAAGGAAGATGAAGGCATGCAATGTCCACTCTGGATGATCCACTCCACCCCTCTTCCTATTTTGTAGAAGAGGAAACTACAGTGACTTGCTCAAGACACCCAATTAATCCATGGCCGGGTGTGGAATCTTCCTATTACCGGAATTCAAGATCCAACTCTGCCACGTACTAGCAGTGTGGTCAAGGACGAGTCACTAACCATTTCTACGCCTGTGTTTCCTCATGTATAGATGAGGGTAATTAGGAGGGTTAGATAAGATGAGCCTTCCAAAATGCTTGCCACTCAAAATTTTGCTATTATTGTTATGCATCTTTAATAAAATCCTGTATGAAACTGTACTGTCCAAGGCAGTAACCACTAGCTGCATGTGGCTATTGACTACTTGAAATGTGGCTGATCCAAACTGAAATACGTGATGTTAAAAATCCACATTAGATTTTGAAGACAGTACAAAAAAATGTAGAGCGTCTCATTAATAATTTTATATTGAGTGCATGTTGAAATGACAATAGGTTGGATATATTGGGTTAAATAAAATATATTATTTAAATAATTTCATCTATTTTAACTTTTAAAAATCTGGC